CTGACAGCAGATGAAGTTCTGCTTCTACTTTACCCTGAAAAAACAAACAAAGTAACATTCTTTCTTAATTTGTTTCAAGACTGAGAATGACAGGATAATGTAAATAATTAAATAATTGGCAGTTTGATAATTTTATGTCTTTGTCTCTTTAACTGTTAACAAAACTTTTTATTTTCACTGACTCTACATGAAAATGTGTCTCAGTGAAAGCACATGCAACACTTTATAATATTGCTACAACATGCTGAATTGATTTACATAATCTATGAGTGTTGCACATATTGTCTATAGTTACCGTCAACTCATCTTCATCACCATTCTCATCTTTAGCTGCAAATGGCCACCATCCTTTGATTCGCTTCAGTTTAAAAAGTGAAACTTGAGGAACTGATCCATCAGTTTTCAACATATCCAAAGAACACTGCTTTGCTGACTTGGCTCCACGCGGAAACCTATTTAAATCCAGAGTTACGGCCCCTGAAATAGACACATAGTTAAGTCAGATTATATTTGATACAGCAGCAGCTTTTGTTACCCAATTAAAATGCTGTGTCGTACAGATGAAATTTTTAGATTATTGATGAAGTAAATTAATTACCGTAAAAATGTGATCTGTTAACACTAATTTTGACCAAAAAAAAGCAGTGATTTTTTTCCCTAAAGCTGTTGATTTACAATTTTCGAAAGGTAAACTGAGGCTGGAGGAAGTATTGAAATCTTTCACGGTCGCCAACAAGTCATGTCGAAAAATAGTTTGCCCGTTCACACTCCAATTACGGTAGTCTCAATGAAACTGATTATTCAGAAAAGTTAAACATATATTCAATGACCAGGTTTCACGACTTGACGATCCCATTTTTGGCGTTTCTAAAACTACTACTCAAAAGAAATATGGATTACTTCAGTATTGCAACATCAAGGTTCATCCTGAGTAAATAACAGAATAGAAAACTTTGATCACTTTTCCTTACATTTTAGATCCAAAAATTGCACAGTGCATCTTTTTTTCATTTTTGGTATCCTAACTTTATATTAATGAACATGAGATGAACATGACATATACAGTAGTCTTCAATTTGGCTTTAACCTCCTCACATGTAAACCGATTTGTGATTTTTATTCAGAAAACACAGCAGCAGACACAATGAAATATCAGTATGTTTTGATTGATTGAGTGTGCCAGCAGAATTTAGACTAATCTATGGTATTAAAAACATGAACGTGGCTGGAATATATACTGAAAGAACAAGCAAACTAACCTAAGAAGTCATCTGCTGAGAAATGGTCAGCATCCCAAACTTGTAAATTGAGTCTTGGAGGAATTTTGTATTCCGACTCATCCCAGGAAAACAATGATTCCTTCTTAGATATAACAATCTTCTCCTCAGCAGCAAGGTACTCAAACGGGAAAACAAACCTCCAGTTGAAATTCCCCTCTCCTGTCAGAGACCTAGTATGCAAATTAAGTAAGAAACAGAGCGATATGCAGATGAGATGCATATTTGGTGATAATAAAAAACTACTTTTATGGAGTAAATTTAGTAATAAAAGTTACTAATAAAAATAGCAAAAGCCAAAAAGAAAAAAATATTATATGTTTTTAGTTCTGAGATACACCCCTTCACTGTTTGTCCTAAACCAACACCAAATCAGTCTCAGTAATTCACCGTTTGTCCTAAACCAACACCAAATCAGTCTCAGTAATTCACTGTTTGTCCTAAACCAACACCAAATCAGTCTCAGTAATTCACTGTTTGTCCTAAACCAACACCAAATCAGTCTCAGTAACTCACATGTGATTTGAATGAGTGCATCTGAACACATGGTTATAGTAGCATACCCTTATCTACAACTATAGTTCAAATAATGTTTGACCTCTGACCTGTAATGGATATCTGTGTTCTGTACATCATCTTGACTTCCTTTCAGCCACCTACATTAGAAATGATTTCAGACATGTTGCAAATAATGTTTCAAATCTATTCATAAAAACATTTAATCAGAGAAATATAATCATTCTAAAAATTTAAATAATGACTTATTGTTTTTGGATAGACGCTACTCCATTTGACTTCACCCATTTTAACATAGATGTCATAGCACTTGAAAATACATGTCACTTTCAAAGGTCATTCACTCCCTTTGACATAGGTGTAAATCATTTTGACCTTTGACATAGCTGTAATTCTTTTTTACCTTTGGCAAGGGTAATCTTTTTGACCTTTGACATGGTTGTAATTCCCTTTGACCTTTGACATGGGTATAATTCCCTTTGACAAGAAAGTAATCTCCTTTTGATATATGTGTAAATTCTGACCTTACCCTTTGACATAGATGTCACTCATCTTCTCTCCCGTAAAGAAAGCATCATCTTCTAAGACAACATCATCAGTATTCCATATAATACATCTCAATTCATATTTCTTTGGTTTCCGTGGTGATATATCAACTGGAGCTCCGGGACATGGCATATCCATCGGAAATATATCAACCCACATTTCAACTTTTCCCTACAAATATCAAATATAACAATCTTGTTAAAATTACTATAATAATAATTTATACTGGTATAACAATTATTTTGGTGATGCCAGGGAATCTGATTATACAATGTAGTTAGGAGAAAAATCTGTGATTTGAGAAGCTGGTACAAAATTACTTGAACAAGAAGTATACTGAGTGAAAGTTTGGTGGAATCTTAGAGCGCTGGTCAAAAGAATGACTAGGTAGGAAAACTTAGAGTGGATATTGTAATGAAAGATGAGAATAAAAGAAAACTTGTTGACAATCTCAAAGGGATGATATGTTAGGGTTCAGCAGCATCCCAATTATACATACCTGTTCAATTCCGGGTTTAGCAGGGTTATAAAGTGGTCTTGTTTCTACATGTTCTGGTACCAATTTGCTTCCAACTTTAGGAATTTCATCAAAATGTTTCAAAGCTTCCAAAGCCAGGTGTTCATCAGTTGGTTTCTTGTGACCTACATAGATCATTGAAATGTCATAATCTTTTTCACATAAAACACACTTTCCTCAAGCAATCCTATGGAACTATCCCAGGGATATCTGACAATACCATGATACATTGATTCCACAATCCCATTAAACTGTCCCAACAATTTCATTATGCTATGGAACTCTTCCATTGATCACAGATTGCCATAGAGCTATCCCAGAGTTCTTACAATACCATGGAAGTAGTCCAGGGATCCCACAATTCCATGGAACTATTCCAGAGATTCCACAATTCCAATGAACTATCCCAGAAATTACACAATTCCATGGAAGTAGAACATGGATCTTACAATGCATAGGGAACGCAATGGTATGGAACTACCATATTTTGGTTTATTTTGAGTCCATCCAGCCAGAAACAAAAGTTAGCAACACAAGTTAGCATTCCCACATGAATATTATCTTACCTATGAAATTTTTCAACATCTCTACAAAAATATTTTTCACCTAGGGAGTACTGTCACATCAATACAAAGATTATCTCACCTAGGGAGTATTTTCACATCAATATGAAGATTATCTCACCTAGGGAGTATTTTCACATCAATATGAAGATTATCTCACCTAGTGAGTATTCTCACATCAATATGACAATTACCTTAACCTAGGGAGTATCCGCATATCATTACAAAGATTATCTTACCTAGGGAGTTTTCCTACTTCAATACAAAGCTTATCTCACCTAGGAAAGTTTCCTACATCAATATGAATGTTATCTTACATAGGGAGTATTCTGACATAAATATGAATGTTATCTTACCTAGGAAGTATTCAAACATCAATATGAAGATTATCTTACCTAGGGAGTATTCTGACATCAATATGAATTTTATCTTACCTAGGAAGTTTTCCCACATCAATATGAATATTATCTTACCTAAGGAGTATTCTGACATCAATATGAAGATTATCTCACCTAGGGAGTATTTTCACATCAATATGAAGATTATCTCACCTAGGGAGTATTCTCACATCAATATGACGATTACCTTACCTAGGGAGTATTCGCATATCATTACAAAGATTATCTTACCTAGGGAGTTTTCCTACTTCAATACAAAGCTTATCTCACCTAGGAAAGTTTTCTACATCAATATGAATGTTATCTTACCTAGGGAGTATTCTGACATCAATATGAAGATTATCTTACCTAGGGAGTATTCTGACATCAATATGAATTTTATCTTACCTAGGAAGTTTTGCCACATCAATATGAATATTATCTTACCTAGGGAGTATTCTGACATCAATATGAAGATTATCTTACCTAGGGAGTATTCTGACATCAATATGAATTTTATCTTGCCTAGGAAGTTTTCCCACATCAATATGAATATTATCTTACCTAGGGAGTATTCTGACATCAATATGAATATTATCTTACCTAGGGAGTATTCTGACATCAATATGAATTTTATCTTGCCTAGGAAGTTTTCCCATATCAATATGAATATTATCTTACCTGGGGAGTATTCTGACATCAATATGAAGATTATCATACCTAGGGAGTATTCTGACATCAATATGAATTTTATCTTACCTAGGAAGTTTTGCCACATCAATATGAATATTATCTTACCTAGGGAGTATTCTGACATCAATATGAAGATTATCTTACCTAGGGAGCATTCTGACATCAATATGAATATTATCTTACCTAGGGAGTATTCTGACATCAATATGAATTTTATCTTGCCTAGGAAGTTTTCCCATATCAATATGAATATTATCTTACCTGGGGAGTATTCTGACATCAATATGAAGATTATCATACCTAGGGAGTATTCTGACATCAATATGAATTTTATCTTACCTAGGAAGTTTTGCCACATCAATATGAATATTATCTTACCTAGGGAGTATTCTGACATCAATATGAAGATTATCTTACCTAGGGAGCATTCTGACATCAATATGAAGATTATCTTACCTAGGGAGCATTGTGACATCAATATGAATGTTATCTTACCTAGGCTGTCTTTAATCACCACAGGAGCTACAAATACTTTGTCATTCAATGTAACACTGCCTTGTGGATCACCATGTTTGGATATCAAATCAGGAAGGTGTATGCCTTGCATGTGTGGTATATATCCATTGGGTTGGCTTCCTTTAGCAGCTTTATGAAAAGCATTTTGTTCTCAAATCATGAGTTGCCATAACCGTAAAACACCAAACCCAATATACAAGCTAGATGGACCCTTATATAAGTGATCAGTGAAATGACAATGACCCATGATGACAAAACCTTAATAATTCCAATGTTCTGTTTGTTTTCCATTTTCCATGGTGAAACAATAAACTGAAGATGAACAAACCCCACAATTATAAATAACAGAATACATCATGCTGAGTCATAATAGTGAAGATGAAGATACCCTTGTGCTGTAAACTCTGGTGCAGTGCAACCATCAAGCAACTGAGATTTAATAACTAGTTTAATGTTACAGCGCCCTCTACATGTTGTACTTGGAAATTGCTACAGAGGGGATCCCAAAGTTTGAAGTGAAGTCCATATCAGTACAGCCATGTGACCTGTCTATGCACAAAGTAAGTAAACAAAATACACAATATATAGAGGGCACACTGTAACCAGTGAAGTCAACTTGAGAACAACAACAAAAATAATCAACATGTACAAAACAAATCACCTTATTATCTCTCCCTACATAATGAATGATATAGGTAGCTTTTCCTTGAACCCTTAACAAGTTAGAAACTCTGGAGGTGGGGTGGCAGAATAAAAAATAATGCATAGATAAACAATCCAGGAAAACTTAGACCAATATCAGAAACCAACATTCTGGAAACATTAGCAAATTATTCATTGAAAAAAAAAATAGCGCAAACCAAAATTAAGTGAAGGAAAAAATATTTTGCATAGTTGTTGTGCCACCACCTCCCAAGAGTTTCTAATGATTCACTCCTAACTCACCATTTTCATCTTCTACATCTGTTCTACCAGTGTAAGACTGATCAGCAACCCGTACTTTAGAGTGTGTGTAATGGGGGCCATCCACTTTAAATTCTTTGCATAGTTTAGCTAGTATCTGTGTAGGTTTCATTGGATCTCTCCATGTATTGTAGCCATGTCTACAAAGTAATATCACATCAATATCTTAGTTTGGTTACAAATTACTGTAAATTGATTTTTATCATGCTAACATATAAAATCACAATAGATTCATTGCTTCACTTGCAAATTCATGAATTTAAAAACCCAGTACTCATACTCACAATATAAAAATAGTAAAATTGAATGTCAGTGCAAATAACCGTAACTGTTATTATATTAATATGTATTTTTTCATATTTGTTCCACCTTTAAGCAAAATAACATATGCCTGATTACAGTGAATTTCATGAAGGCATGATGTTTAGTAATAAGGAAAATAACACAAGTGCTATTACAGTGAATTCATGAAATTCACTGTAACTGAGAGACAGTCTACAAGTATAGCTAAACCAAATATATTTAATAACATATAGATTATAATTATGGATATTGACATAAATATAGACTGGCCCAGCCATGCAAATTTTACATTTTTTTTCTTTAAAATGTGGTTTGACACAAAATGACCACAACTGGTCGATTCTGCAGCATATCCATGACTACTTGTGGTAATTTTGCCTCAACACTGAGATTCTGCAACAGGAATTATCATATAAAACAACAAGCAATCTCTCTGCTGAGATAGCTCCGCTGTTAGCAATGCACATTTCAATTATAGAACAGAAGATATCATTAGAAAATGAACAATATGTATAGTATCAATGCAATGGGACTTGCTGTTTTCAACAAGAAGTCGAAAATATCATTATTTACCAAAAATGACAAAAATATTCAGCAAAATTAGAGAATTGAAGATATCATTACAAAACGAACAAATCTGAGAGAGGTCTACATGTAGTACCTATATATGTAATATCAAAGCAATTAGACTTGCGGTTTTTAACAAGAAGTTGAAAATATCACTTTTTACCAAAAATTACAAAAATATTCACCAAACTTAGAGAATTGAAGATATCATCACAAACGAACAAATCTGAGAGAGGTCCACATGTAGTACCTATAAATGTAATATCAAAGCAATTGGACTTGCGATTTTTAACAAGAAGTCGAAAATATCATTTTTTACCAAAAACGACAAAAATATTCACCAAATCAAGTCATTGTCAATGACACGTCCCCGTTCCGTTCATATTTGAGTGACATATACATTCAAAGCAGATCATGCCCGAAATGCACCTGCATATGTACAACACATTGTACTAAATCTGAACAAAATCTATCCATGCATGACTGAGATCCGGTTCCGGAATTGTGAAAATACGTGATTTTGATGCATTTTCGGCCTTAAAATGGCCATCATTCAGCTATTGTTAAGCGGATCATGAAACAAATGCACATATCTATTT